ATATTATTTGTTTGTAGTGTTTTTTATATTTTCTCTTCCTTGAAAATTCTGGCAAAATGATCGTCAGAAAGAGTTTTTTTATTTTTCGTATAGGTAACGATCTAAGAATAAATTTATTATTTTTTGTCAGTTTTATCGCAAAATATATCATATGATAGCCCTAGTTTAAGGAAATCTAATAAAAAAAGTTTGTACAATTTAGATCGCTCATTGTGCCACAATTAGCATTTTAATTTTAGCAATTATTTTCGAATTTTATCATTCCACAAATACTTTTGTTAGGGGAATGTATCCTCAAGATACTATTTCATAATATTTCAACTTTGTTTATATGAGTTGGGTGATTAGAAATTAATTTATGTTTGATCATTCGACAGGAATACTTCATCCTTTAACCTTTTTAACTTTAATTACCATTCCATTATTTTTAGTTTGCATTGCATTTTGGATTAGAAAATCTTAATCTTTTTCACAATTCTTTGCTATCTCATCTATAAGTCCTGTCAATTGGTATGTTTAATAATGTCAGAATATAAAGATTCAGAGAGCTATTAATATTGGTATGTATTCTAATACAATTATTTGATGCAATTAAAGGAAAAGTTCTTGTAATGCAACGAGATTTACGAATGATTCCTACCTCAGTTAAACTTTGGAAAGAATATTTTAAATTAGAATTACCAATGTTGATAAGATTGAAGCTCACCGTACAATTAGATGCCGTAAAAATAAGCGAGTGAAGAGGTCGAGATGGAACCTAATATGGACTATTCTATAATAAGCAATTATTCTCAATCAGATAATGAATTAATTCCAATAATTATTGATGAAGAAAGTAATCATAATAATCATGAAAATGATAATTATAATAATCATATCATAATAATCGCAATAATGATAATTATAGTAATCATATTATAATAATCACAATAATAATGATGACGATGATAATGGAACAAACAATAAATTTATGCAATAAATCATCGTGTTCTCAAATGCTAAATTTAAGCACAATTTAATGAAATTTTAAGTTATCCAAATTATTTAAGTTTTCGAAAAGAATTTATTTATACCCTTATACGCTTTCAATTGATAACTATATTTATCAAAAGTAAATTGACGACTTTATCATATAAAATTATTTATTTTAAGAACTATTTACATAGATTTATTTATCATTATTATTTGGTATGGTATCACAAAAGAACTTTATATTTAGGACAGATCTTTTTTTGTTGTTGAAACATTTTTGTCATGATACAAATTGTCTTGAATATATTAGTATTATAAAAAAGACTGTTGGAGAACATCGAGAAAGTACTGATGGTCGTGTAGTAAAGAACTATCATATTTGTTTACCGAGTTTTTCAGCACAAGCCCATATTATTCACTTATGTGATTTATTATTATATTATTATTCCTATTTAATTTTCGATTTTCGATTTTTTTTTTTTTTGACAGTGAAATTATTTGGCAATCAATCTTAAGAATTAAAATTCAAGCAGATTCAAGAAGGATTCGGAATATTCGAGATAATTCACTAAAACGAGTATACGAATTGGCTTTAAATCATAACATCACTTCCCATGATTTATGAAATTCACTTCTCTTGTGAATTTTATCAAATTTTGAACTAACTACTTTTTTTTAAAAAAATGGACGCATTCTTCTTGGTTAGATATTATTATTAATTCGTATTTGAATTTTTTTAAAAGTATATACATCTTTCTCGAATTTATTAAAAGGACCACCTCTTTCTTGCAATGCGCACACGTGATAAGGAACTTGGAAAAAACTCACTAGGTCTACAAAGAGTATGTCCAAATTTAGTAAATTTATTCGTTTCATTTCATAATAATAACTTTTTTCACATATTTACACATTTATATATATATCTCACTTACTCTTTTCTTTTATTTTTTTTATCGTATCGTATCAATCTTTCTTTATAATAAATCCTACTGTCAAAAACGGTTCCTCCTCGGTCTTTGACCAAGCTTGAAAACAAAGATGAAAATATCGAATTCGAAAGATACAAACTTTTAAATTCCAAAAGATGTCAAAGCATCGGAATTTAAAGATGATATTTATCAATCGGAATTGTTAACCTTAGATGGATTTAATTCCAAATCTTAGAAAAATAAAGAGCCAGAGAGAAATAAAATGAGAATGCATTAAAAATGCCAAAATTTCTAAGTAAACAATTTTTTGTATTATAAAACAAAATAAAAAAAATTATTTCTCATCAACATTCCAATCGATCTTTATTTTATTGGATAGGCCATCAGGAAAATTTAATATTACGGTTCTACGTAGATTTGCGCATATTTATATGGATCATGTAAATTATGTGTAAAATACAAATAAAAAATATATAATTGATAATTTAAATAAAATTCATAAATTAGATGTATCTAAATCATTCATCATCATTATCACCTAATTAACAAAAAAGAGATAGTAACTTAATTACGAATTTTAAATAGATATAATTAATACTTAGCAGAATTTATTTGATAAAAAGATTTTGTCTTTACATTTCTTTTCGAAATTTTCTTCATTTTTAGGTTTTGGAAGATTTGAAAAATTAAGCCTACTGGTATAAATTGCTTGTGGATGTGTCCGCTAATTTGTTCGAATTGTAGTTGCATCAGTTGTTTGATTTTTGGAAAGTTCTTCAGATTCTTTAATTTGAATTGTAATTTCGTTATATTTATTTTCACGATCTCAATCAAGTATTCCAACATCGCATAATTATTTGTGTAATTAATTTAGGTGAGTGAAATGGCATTCTTGGTCGAAATCCATTACATATTTTAAATCCAAATCTTTATTATGTGACACATCATGATGCAAGGGAATTCCAGTGAAGATTTCGTAGGCTACAAATCAAATGAATAAACATCAACAGCCTTTGTATATTCTTCCCACTTAAAACTTCAAGAGCTATATAGGGTAATACTCCAGAAATATAATTTTTTTGGTGATTTTTTATGTTCCTGTAATTAATTTATTCAAACCAAGATCTTATACAAACATATCTTCTTAATATTTCCAGGATGAAAATCACTGTGTACTATAACTAATTTATGAATTTTAAAAATTTTTTCAGCTAAATTTGTTAAATAATATAATTTATATCCTCATTCGAAATTATTAAAATGATTATTTAATTACTAATCCATTAAAGAATGATTGACTTAATTGAGAATTTTTTTTTACTTAATAATTTGAAAATAAAAATTGATTTATATTTAGAATTTGGGGTTTTTGTATTGGAAATTTGTTTCCATGAAGTTATTTAACTTTACAACCAATAAAAATTCAAGTAATTTTAAGAAAAAAATTTTTTTTAAATTTTTTTTCAAGTTATTAGCTTAAATAAAAAATATTCTCTATTGTTAATAGAATATGTTACAATATAATCTAAAGTATGTATACATTAATTTTGAGATTTTTAGCTGATACTTTTATTAAACAAAAAATGCTATTATAGTTTGTTTTCAACTTTTTTAAAATTTGATAATTGGTAATGTTAAGTAACTATTTGTAAAACTTTGAGTTATACATAAGGTCTTTTTTATCAAAAAATTCAATAAAATAATCTCAACGTTTTTTCTTACTTACAATAACTTCATATAATTTATTTGAAATTAAAGACTTATCTAAAGGGGAAACATAGACTTCATACATAAATATGAGTTTAAATTAATTATAGGAAAATTCATAAAATTTTGAATCCTGTAAAGTTTTATTAAATATTTAAATAAAAATAATTCTAATCTCAAAGTTTTTTTTAAAAAAAATTTACAAAATTTGATTAAGAATTGACAGACTTATCTAATAAGGGAACACTTTTTTTTTAAACCAATGGAGCCTTACTCCATAATGTTTATTTTTATTGTTAAAATAAATACAAAATTTATAAAACAAAAAGTACATGAGAGAATTTGTTAAAGCTAATTACAATTTACAGCATGGCCCATTGTTGCCGTAACTGAGAAACTGATTAGCCAAAAACCTGTCAGTTAATTTTAAATAACGTGAAGTCCCTTTTAACACCATTCACAAGTTTTGCCCATAACCACTTTTTTGCATAAAAAATTGCTGTGTATAAAGAGTTTTTGATATCTCTTGAACCAAAGTCTTTATCATAATTAATATATTGTAATGTATCTAATTGATGCTGTTCATTTAATATTATGTCATCATGTACCTTTATACTGTCCTGTGGTTGTGTTCATTGTGATATTATTGGTGAATTCATATGTTTTTTCCATCCCAATTTTTTATCCTTGGAACTAATGTTTTGGTGTTTCTCCCATATCAATATTTTTTCACAACGATATTTCCATATATGAAATAAATGAAGTTTGAATTTGATTATGTTTTTAGATATAACTAACCTACTATCTTTGTAGTTTCATGTTATCTATTTGAAAAAGACACAAGAGTGTTAGGAATTATTTCTGCAATTACATCCAGAAAGCAGATTGAGTCAAATCCCATTATACTTTGATTAGTGATGTCAAAGTCTATTATATAAAGTTTCAATTTTCTTTTCAAGGTTTCTAATTGTAGATTTGTTTGTAAAACTTTTGCAGTTTCGTGAATGAGGATTTTGATAAATTTGCTTTCAGGTTGGTTAATGGATTAGATTCTGATTGAGTAAAACATAAAAAAACATGCATATTATGCATATTATTTTCAATTTCTATTTCACAAAATGGACATGTATTTGAAGTATATAGCAATGGATTTCTTTTGTGAAGATTGTCTAGTGTAGGTAGTTAATTATTAATTAATTTGAGTGAGAGTTTTCTCATAGCAGCCACCTCAATACTTGAAAAGAGTGAGAAATTTTTGTGGTGAACAGTTTTCAATGTTAGTTTCTAATTTATGTTTTTTGCTTTATTTGTATGAATCCACCATCTAGATCTGTTTTGTTTTACCCATTTTTGAATCAATATTTCACTAGTGTGTTTTTTGGTCATTGTTTTAATTGAAAATTCTAGTGTCAAATCATTCCATGTAGGAATTATTTTTAAATGATTCAGTGAATGGCTATTGATACTAATCCTTGGATCTTGAAATGGAGCAATACTTGATACCTGAGCTAAATGATCTGCTATCTCATTATATTCAATACCTTATCGAGCTTCTAACTTTGTAAGGCAAATTTTCAGTTCAAGTTCTTGAATTATTTGTTGAGCTGCTGCAGAAAATATTATATTATTGTCATTCTCTTTACTCCCTAACAAATTATTCAAAATTCCGTTAAAAACATTAATTGCTCCCTGACTATCTGAAAATATTTCAACTTTACACCCCTTTGGTGCAATTTATATTGCTGTAATTATTGCTAAAATTTCTACTTTTGTTGATGAGGGAAATACTGTATTTCTGTAGTACATGTACATCTAAACTCAATATTGTTTGGAATAATATCTGAAGTTGGAATAATCCATCCCAGACCCATTATATTACAACCTTGAAAATCTTGCTAAAATCAATAAATTAATAGTAATAATAGTAAAACAATGATAAAATAATAATAATATTAACATAACAATAATATATTATGGGTAATTTTCCTGTATCAGTTCAAGTTTTGACTGTATAATAATTGAAAGTTTCTTTCTTCTTTCTTCTTTAGCTATATTTATTTTAATTAAATATTAAATTAATAAAACTGAAAATATGATTTATTAAATTTTAATAATAACGTAATTTAGTTTCATTTGATTTTAATTTAATACTCACTACTATAAAAATCCAGAATAACCAAAAATTTCAAATCACATAAACTAAAAAGATAATCTGTCTCTTCTCTAGTCCAATCTTTATCCAAATAAATATTTAGATAATGAAATTCAAATTAAATTAATTAAAATTCAAATTGAAAAAATTGTCTATAATTATTGTTATTATTACCTGTCAAGTATTTCTGATTTCTTCATCTGTATATTACAATATATCAACACTTTTATTATATTTAGTTGATCAATAATCTATATATGTAATTGGAAATCAATAAAATATTGTTTTCCTTTATAAATGAATAAATTATTTAATGCCTAAATTAGCTTCATCAGAAGATACTTTTGTCCAATAATTCAATTGTAATTCATCGCTTCTTAAATTTTTAACCAAAGGTTTATAAATCCTAAAAGTTTATTTAATTGTAAATTCTTATAATAATTATTTAATCTTCTTTCTTGTAATTCCGTCCTGTCATCTTAAAGATTGTTTTTACTACGGAAGTTGAACACATTTTCAACCACGTGTATCATTATTATTATTAATCTAACCATCAAATAGCTTTTTTGCATAAATTGGTTTTTCCTTATAAGCTGATTTAATCAAAGCTATCAGTGGTTATACCTGCCACCAAATTCAAAATCCAAATGCCGAAATCCCAAATGCCGAAATCCCAAATCCCAAATCCCAAATTATGATTAGTATTT